CACGAAGTACTACAAATCATATGCATAGCAAAGCTGAGCCTAAGCTCTACCCTTGTAGGGCTGTCAAAAAAACTCGTTGTTCGCGAACAGTTCGTGTTCGGTTCGTCAATGAGTTCGTGTTCGATTCGTTCGATAAGTAAACGAGACAAACGCGAATAATTTTTTTTCGTTCGGTTAGTTAAACGAACCAAACACAAACAGTGATGTGTTCGTTCGTGTTCGAATCGTTATTGTTTGAAATATAAAATAATATAAAATAATTATATATAAAAAATTTATTATATTTTAAAACATTAAATTTTATAAATTATAATATATAATAAAATAATAATAATAATATATTAATATACTATAGTAGTAATATACTAATATAGATATTGTATATTTATATAATATAAGTTATATAATTAATATATAATATTATTTTTATATATTAATATTAGGGATGTCAAACTGGCTCGTCGTTCGCGAACAGCTCGTGTTCGGTTCGTGTTCGGCTCGTTCGTTAAGAAACGAACACGAGCTTATTTCAAACAAACTAAATTTTAAACGAACCGAACACGAACACAAGCTTTGTTCGTTCGTGTTCGGTTCGTTTACACCCCTATACCCTTGTACCCGAATTACCTAGTAAGTGCAAGAGAATGAAGTTAGAATCTCCAGCATCTCACCACTTAATTACAAGAAGCTAGCAGTAAAATTCATAAGTCTTCTGATTTGAGGCTTGTTTAAGCATGTTTGTTTCTTATCTTGGAATTCTTCTTGATCCAAATGAGGAATGGGAACGACAATCAAAAGAAAAATGGATTTCTTCATCTTGGAGCACATGGTGAAATTATCATATATGGTCATCTGCTTTAACCTTATCAACGTTTTTACTTCTAGCAATTATGATTCTAGTGAGCTTTTCTTGATTTAACATCATTGTTCAATGATTTGTTGCCAAGCACTAAATTCACTTTAGAATGCCTTTTAAAACATCCAAAATTTATAAAGACCATTAAATTCATGCCAAATCACCTCTAAAGCCTCAATTAAAATACTTATACTATTAATCTAGTTGACCAAGAAAAGAGCACAAAAATTCTAAGGATCTTCGTATGGACTCTAAATTGATGTGAGAATCTTGGCAATTCAACGTGAGTATTAAAGTATGCATTGCCTTTTTTTTTATTTTGATTAAACAAGTTGTGGTGCGAGGTGGTAAGATGTACTATTTGGCTAATTGTAATATCAAAGTTGTTGGTCTCGTATGCTCGCTTGTCAAAAGCTAATGTTGTAAAATTCAACCATTTTGAATGCCAACAAATAGAGTAATAAGCCTCTGAACTTCGAATCAAGCTAATTCAAAGGTTAATCACAAGTCAAAATTATAATTTAATTTAGGAATTTTTCTTATAAGTATATAATACTCATTATTGGACTTTTCTCATCTTCATGGTTGTAGATCCTTCTTATGAGATTTGCAATGAATATAGATGATAATTTGAACTTGAGTGAAACTCATGTACTAACAAACCCTTAAAGTAAAATCAAATCCACCAAATAAAATAACTTAAAACAGAAATCTCACATCTCTTATAAACGCTTCTTTTGAGTCAAGTTGAAACTCGTGATTAACTAATGGTCATGGCATTCCACTGAATTGCAAGCATTTATAATGTACGTTTTTGAACTATTCTTTTAAAATGATATGACAAATTCTCTATCAAAAATGAGTCGATGATAATCTCAAAAACATATTGTCAGCATAGTTATAGTTTGCTTTGATATTTAAAAGGAGGCAACCCATGGTTGCTAATCAGGTTATCCAAGCATTATGTAGCATTGGAAAACTAGATTCATTGGTCTATCTAGGATGGCAGTATTTTAGGATATTGATTATGTTTACTTTATTTTTTCCAATTATTTTCCATTAAATCTATTCTAAATATAATCAATTAGTATTAACCTAAAATTCATGCCAAAGCAAGCTCTTAAATTGAGAGTGCTCTTCCTCAATTAGGATGAGGATTTGCACCTTATAGGATGCCTCGACCCCAGATCTAAATAAATGTAGATATAAAATTAAGGGTTACCTGGTTAATACAGAATTAATCTATCTAAATGAAGACCTCTCTTATGTTTTTTCATATAAATATTAAGAAGGCTCATAAGGGTGGGTTGGCTGTTACTTCATGATCAATATTTTATATGAATTCATGTACATGTGAAAAATCTAATTGTCCAAATATTTAGCAACGCCATAATGGGATTCTAGGTAAATGTCATTCTATTAGATGCTTATTCGGAGCCTGAAAATTTTTTTGACACTTTATGATAGGATTGGATTATGTTATTGATGGTACACTGCATAAATTTTAACACGCCATAAAAAGTAATCTAGTTAAAACAAAATTAATCTACCTTGCGAAAAATTTCTTGTTGAGTTTTCTCACATATACATTGAGAAGGGTTATAGGGAAAGGATTGGCATTTCCTGTGTAATTAGTCTCTTATGAATGTTGATGCATTTGATAACTCTAATTAACTAAAAATTTAGCAACTCCATGGCGGGTGATAATGTTAGGCACATGATATTTTTCAAGATGCTTTTGATGACATTAAAGAGTTTTTCTGCATAAAATTTATTAATTTCTTGACACTTTATTTCACGTTTAAATTGAGCAATTGATGCTACATATGTTAGTGCCTTGCATGCATCGATTCTTTATAGTTCAAATCATATAATGTGATGGGTGTGTTTGATTTGAACATTTGCTATAAATGAATGGAAGAAGAGTACGCATTATAGGCCAATTTTTAGATAGGCTTGTGATACGACACTTAGCAATTATATCTGCCACCACAATCTTAGATTTTCATTTTCAAAATGTAATAATAAAAGTTGTGAAATTCATACTCGCCAAATGCAATACACGTGACAAATATTAAAAAAATTAATCTAGCTAAAATGTTTAATTTGAAATCTGTGGAGTCGGGTATTTCTCTTTGCATGGGCTAGACATGTATGCATTGCAGGAGGAAAAATCAATGATATTTGTTACTTAGCCGTGCTAACGAAGAAATTTCGGATTTGAAAAAGGAAATGGGCTTGTGCTATGGATCTGCCTAATTTTCTCTTAATAATTTGTCAGTGCGTAATTTTATGGGGTGATCATAAATCATTCATGTCTTTGGAGCACTTCCTTCATGTATTTTCAAAATAAACCCATGGGGAATGTGTTTATTTTTACTCCAAAATTTAAAAATAAATCTACAGTTAGATTACGATTATGCATATATTTTGAAAACATATGGGTTTATGTATTCATTTCAAAGATTACATGAGGTTTTTCATAGTTGGCCATTATTTTAATTGGAGATATTTTTCAAATTGATCCCATTTTCAGGCTATGCAGTGAGGATGGAAGTTGCATATATTCCAAACCATATGTCACTTTCTATTATTAATTGTGATTTTTTAACTATATATGGAAAACTTAGTAATCAGGGGACCTTGGTGTTAATTAGAGTAGCTAGTCTAAAAACCCCATCTCTTCAGCATGAAGAAGGGTTTATTTTTGGGATTGTAGTGAGGATTCCATATACTTTGGGCAGATTCCCCAAGTTTAGAAAGGTGAAAAGTAGAAGAGATCGTAGCGGAGGTCGGTATTTTGCCACAGTTGATCACAAAAGGTTCAGCCTTTTTTCCACATTTCTCTTGGTCCTGTCGTGGCAATTTATGTCGCTATCTACCATTTTTCAGAAGCTGCAATTCTAGTTTTAGCAGCAAAATAATCATTCCAGAGGATTTGTAGTCATAGTGGAGTCATAGATTCTGTCAAAATTGATTCCTTGCCTATTCTTGTAAGGCCTAGTGTATTGATTTTTCTGTTTGTTCTTTCAATCCCCATCGGTGTCAGATGTGACCACCAGATTGATTAGAGTTTGATGGCATAGATCGCTGAAATGATTGAGTACAGAGATACATCTTTATCAAATCATTAGACAAGTTGAGTACAGAGATACAAATTTATCAAATCATTAGACAAGTTGGTTATTATTAATTATGTGGATAATAGCATGCTGAAATTTTATAAAAATTCTTCATATTAAATTGCTGTTACATTACAATGTTACTTTTGTTAGAAGGTAAACTGCATGTTCATATTGTGCGGCATAGATTATAAAGGAGGATATGGTCTCCTTAACGAGTTTTAATTCAACTTACTTCTGCCTGGTGATCTGGGGCATGGAGGCAAGATATGTATCCTGTTAAGGCTACAATGCCATGGCATTGGTTTACATGCTTTTGTTGGGTTGTGAGGTGAAATTCAGGTAGAAATTTGTTGTATTTTTTGTTTCCATGCTGTGTTGTGAATGCTAACTCTTATATTAGTGCCCTAGAATCAGCCTTACAATCTAGATGTATATTTTTTAAATTATTTTGATCAAATTCACTTCTAAAATGAAAGAATAGTTAACGAACCATCTTAACTTTAGGAGCATTCATTGAAGACGCTTTTTCAGAATTGCAGTGCAAATGTGAAGACACAGAATATACTCCCAAGTTCTATAGTCAAATTAGGAACTCAATAGGCTTGTTATTCAATTTCATTATGAAATGCTTCAATGTAAAATCTTAGGTATTTAGCAAGGTTGGATGCATTGTATGTAATTATTAAGTTTTGAGGGACTAATATTTATAAATCTAACATTTAGGAGGAAAACTAGGGAAGCTGAGTCCCTGTGTATACTTGCCAATCTCTTACACATGCTTATTCCGTAGTTGCTTTAAATTTGTTGCTGTAAAATATTTGTGTGGTAAATTTTTTTGAACGTCTCTTGTATTTCATTTACTATTTAAACATAGGCTCTTGCAAAGGCCTGAGAACCTCATTTTCCTGTTATATTCCGTTAAAAAAATTTTCCCCTCACCCATTTTTTTAATTTTGATAGCTAATGGTGAGTAGGCCACTTTCCTTCTAGACGTTAATGAAAAATTTGGCTTAATGCAGGGAAGATCACTTTGACATGGACCTTGAGGATCTTATGGTCATGGAAGCTATATGGTTGTCAATTCAGGTGATAATTTTTATCATATTCTTCCATGCGATGCACTAAGTTTGCAAGCTGTAGTCATATTTAATTACAATTTGGAATGAGAAGCACAAAACATAGATTCATATTCACGGGACAAACTATGTTTCCAACACATTTTCTACAACAAAGTTGGTAGTTAGTGACAGCTACTACGTGTCATCAACCATATAACCAACGTTTCAATATTTAAACCTGAGCTGCCTTAACAGTAACACCACAAATTCTTGAAACAGCTTTGTTTGTAACCAACTAGTTTTATATCAATCCAAAGAATCATATAGAAACATTTAAAAACTTTATTTTGATTAGATGATATTACAAAGCATCATCATGAACCATTGAATTTTTTATATGTTTATTAAGCATCAATTTTCAGCAAATTCTGGTGTTAACTTATAATTGGCATTCCACATTTATTATATCTATTGTAAATCACATCAAGTTCTAGTATTTACCACGGATCTGGGTGAATTATTCTTCGAACAGGAACAAGGGGTTCAGAGAAATCCATCATCTACCGACATGCAAGACATTCATGCAGCCACTAAGGATGCCTCTCCTTCTTATGGACTTGCTTGCACAGTTGCAGCACTAGCTGAACGTCAGCTCACTGATGGCGGGGATGTTTCGAGCTTAGATGCTTGCAGCAGCTCACTTTCGACAGAAGAGAGTCTGCTTAATAATAATTCTTCTGCCGGTTGGCTCGACACATCTGTGCATGCGGATGATGGTGAGTGCTCTGTAGACAATAGCTCGGAGGTGGCTGAGGCTGGCACCAGCTATGCAGGCTCTGATGCCACCATAGATGCGGTGCGGGCGATCTCCCTACGTGAAGACGTTAACATGGCTTCAAGCCATCTCCTCCCTGAGAGCTTCGAGGAACAAATGATGCTGGCCATGGCTGTCTCGTTGGCTGAAGCTCGGGCTCGGGCAAGCCCCCAGGGTGTGACCTGGATGTAACTGGAGTTAAATGGTTTGGTTTGGAAATTTGCCATTTCAGCTGCTTTTCTCCCTGTGATACAGTCTCTGGTTGCAATCTGCTGTTCTGTTTATTTTATTTCTGTTCTATGCAGGTAGTCTTTGCTCTTTTTTTCATATATATCATCCTATATACAGGTTACAGGTAAACCACATAAGCTAGGGGAAGGAATAGAGAAATTGTGGGGGTGGAATTGTGTAATTTGGTTAGATATATTGAAAGTTGAGGATTTCTGTCATTGAAGAATAATTCCTTGTTTTGTTCTTTCTCTACATTGTAAGAGGGATCTTGTATTTCTTTGTGTAGTTCATAGTAGTTGGCAAATTAGATGCAATTTGAGTAGTTTTTCATTCGAATGTTTTTTTTTTTTAATTAGATTTGCAATTGTTTTGTTGTAAAAATCTAGTATAGGTTTTTCATCGCTGAGCATGCTTCGTTTGATACATTTTTATTTTCCAGAAGTGCATAAATTATTTGTTGTTAATCAAACTTTTCTTGTATTTCAACTGCACTTGTCTTTAATACCTTGGACATGTAAATAGATTATTATAATTCTTAGAAATATGTGGTGACCTTATATTAATATTTGAATTTTTAGATATAGTAATTTGGATCAGTCTCAAATATTATATTGGTGAGTTGATTAAACTCTTTTGATATTGAGATTGAAATTCGAATCAAGTTTTAAAGACAGCAGAGAAAAAAAATATTCTAATGAAAATTTTTAGGTGATTTTGTGTGATTTTGATGGAGCGATTGTGTTTGATGTACAATCAATAACTTTTTATTTACAGATGAAAATCAATGTCAGTGTTATAAAATTAACTCTATAATGTTATATCACCCATTAAGTATATAAATTGAATCAATGTAATGAGTTGCGTTGCTAGTGAGTTTAGCCTACTCTTAGACTAATATAAATTTTGAGTGAGTTTTGGATTGAGCGTATCTTAGACAAATTTTTTTGGGTGAGAATTATTTGTTCATGAATGAGTACTGTGCAATGTAGCAGAGTAATTTTTGGATGAATAGCTTAACAAATTACTGAGTTTTTTAGGATTACTTCAGCAGTTTCATATGCAGGGTTGATAAGGTTGGTTAGCTCTGCATAACTTGATAGTTAGTTTGAAGCTGTAGGTGGCCTATTAACAATTAGTGAGTTATTGAATTTAGTCAAAGCTCTTATAATAAAATATTGGGTCATTTTAGGGGGTGACATGCCTTGTGTTCAAGGAAGCCACAGTAAGTTATGACATGATTATTGGTACAAAAGGGATTTGGTGCAAATGCTAATGCTAATGAGTGGGAGTTGAATCCCAACACTATCGAAGGTGCTGCAGCATTTAACAAGGAAACTCAAGCTCCTATTAAAGGATTGAAGATTCTGAGGCTAATATATTCCCAATAAAATCTCCTAAGATGGTCTAAAATGAAATTCCATGTGAGCATATTCAAAAGCTTGCTTATTTAGATTGAATATTTAAGGAAGCGGCAATGCTCTATATGGAGTTCAAAAGATCATTTGGTTTTACAAGTTATCTTTTTAAAGGTTTGATGTTGTAATTCTTTCTTTCTTTTGAAGTTTCTTAATGTATTTCATTGAGAGAAAACTGTGAAAGTATAAATATTATCTCAATTCCTTGTTCTTTATATCTTTTCTTTTCTTGAGATGTTGATGTAATGAATTTTTTGAATAAAATTAGAGTTCATCTCCATTGTGGTTTTACTCATGCTTATAAGCTGATTTAATTCTTATTTTTCAGTTTTTTATTTGTGTTCCTTATCTGGTATTTCTGAAGTTGAATCGCTTTATATAGTTAGCCTTTAGAGACAAGCTTAGTACTTGTATTTAGCATTTTTAAGTAAGCTAAAGGTTTACTTATGTTCTGAAGTATTTCTTTGATTAAGACATCTATATGTGACTTTCGAAATAAGTTGGACTTTATTTAGAAAATTTTCATATATTTTGAAGTCACCTTTATTAAGAAATCAAATCATTTGTTGTTAGTGAGTGTTCAACTGATTCAAAGAAAATCTGTCACTTAGATTTCCTGAATTGATATGAAATGATGACATACATCACATATAGATTTTTTGCCACTAAATCAATGATTATGATAAGAATTTTAGTAGAATGAAATTGTTAACATGAATATGGGGGGTTGAGTTTATTGTGTTTTCTTGCCTATAAATAGGATTTCTTTTTTATACATCATTTTTTCAACAGTTTATTTGTTTTCTTGCTTCATTGCTTTTACTTTCATTATGCTCTATGTTCTCCTTCAAGATTTCTAATTTTGTGTTAAAATGTCTAGAAGTTAACGATGAAGAAAACTTTACCAAGTTCAATTTCACTTCTTTGGTTAGGAGAATAATGTCGGTCTTCTATTTGAGTTATGGCATGATAATTTTGTGCTAAAGCTTGTTATAAATATCATTTTTGTATACCATGTTTGTTTTTTAAATAGGCCACAAATTCATTGGAATGTGACTTTCTTTCTCCCAGAAAGTAATTGGAATGTCACAACTTTTGTTTATGTTACCTTTTCATTATTTTTCTTCATAAATTGACTACAATGTGGAGTAAAAGATATGTTTTTAGTAAAGGAGTTTAGAACAGGTTTTTTTTTTTCAAAATTCATGTATATTGAATGGTAAGAAAATAAAATAAAAAATAGTATATATAAATATTTCTTCATAAAAAATGCCAATGCCAAAATGTGGCTTGTTAACGCTTAAACCAACTAAGAGAATAAGGACACGTTGACCCTTGCAAGTTTTAATCATAAGAGTAAATGATTAAAATGATGCCTTTGAACATCAGCCAATGGGTATGATTTTACTTGGATGTAAATTTATAAATCTAAAATTTGATTTTTTTTACTCGTCTATTGAGTTAACTGAGATGTTACTAGTTGCAAGTTGTTATACCCTTGGGACATGTTCAATGGCATTAACAATTGTGCTTGCTAATGATAACATGAGATTTAGGATGTGTTTGTTTCGGTTGTGGTTGTAGAAAATTTTGGTTCAGAAGCTGCTTCTGAAAATTTACTGTTCAGAAGTTGGTGCTTCAGAAATAGCTTTTTTCTTTGACAAACACAGTTTTGAAAGTGTAATGTTGATTAATGACTGTAATACCTCTCAGTATATAAACACAGTTTTGTTTGAAAAATACAGTTTTGAAAGTGTTGTCTGTGGAAGAAATCAAATGACAATTTATCAAGTTATTTTTATTCACAACACCATAAGAGTATTATAAAGGCTTGATTGTTAAGTCTCTCCAACATCAACTTAGGATAAAAAAAACATCCATCATTCCATCGTTCATTCTATACTAACGAAGCTTTTTTGGAGGATATTGATTCCCCACTCCAAACAAACAAAATTAGCTAAATGATCTCCAAAAAAAAAAAAAATTCTCCGAAAGCCAGTCATTGTTCATGTCACTCGAGCATCAGCTTTTAAAAGAAGTATGTTGAGATGTCGGTTGATCCCCCTTTCGAAGATGAACAATAAAAATATTCTCAATTAATAAAGGCCTTATGTTGAATTTGAATACAAATTTTAATTTGCACTAATTTTTTACATTTTGATATCCAATTTAAGGCTACCTAAGCACTTGACCGTGATTCCCACCAATCCTTGAACATAATCGATCTAATGGGTACCACTGATTAATCTCATCAATTACTGCCAGTACATTTAGTTTACTGCTCTTGAAAGAAGAGCTCTTGTAATTCATGAGAACATATGACAATCCCCAAAAGAACTTATGGGACCTTGTCCTGCTCAATCAAGTAAATATTCACATTGTTCCTTCGAAAGGTTTTCTTGTTCAAAAATTTCAGCCGTTATGGCATGTTCATCATGGCCATCGCTAGCATTCAATCTTAATCAGTATATTCTTTTTGTATCCATTGTCGAGAATTCCTGTCTTAAGAACAAACTTTTATAAGTGGAATACTGTAATTGGCATGAAACATGATACTACGTAGTTTTTGAGTAAAAGAAAACTCTGGAACGAAGAGAATAATCATAAACAAACTTGATACTTCTATTTTATATAAGATGTAACAATTCCAAGTTGGAAACCGATGTAGCCCCCATCAACACTCCTCAATCAAACCAGTCCCAATGCTAAACCAAATTAAAAAATAAACTGGACAATCCATACCCCTTTAATTTCACATAAAAAGGAAGGGATAAGAACCTCTAATTCTCAATCGGAATCCGATTTCTTCTTAGACTTGCGGTAGATCTCCTCGTACTGCCTTCCGATTGCAAGCCCCATGAGAACGAGCTTCCTCATGTCAGGAACATTGTAGTTCTGGGCCATGTAGATCCCGCAGGAAGCTCCCATAAGAAAGGTGAAGCTGCTCCGCAACACTCCCATCCGCTCTATCCAGTCCCGCGCCTTCAAGCCGACGCAATTGCTCCCGGCGAAACAAAAAGAAACCTAACAAACCTCGGTTTGGTAGAAGATCGGCTACGGGCCTGTTTTACCGGTTTGCCGGCACTGTGTAGGTGCAGACGGCCGTCTCGGAGGATGTTGGGGTGACGGGATAGGCTCGTCGATTTTCTATCTTCGGGAAGGAAACGACGGGATCGGAGGGACTCGCGGGTGGGCGCCAGGGCTGGAGGCCGGGGGTAACTATTCGCGAACCGCAGAACCCAACCGGCGAAACAAACAGCGCGCAAACGCGGTTTAGAGGCGAACTTTGTTCAGAAAGCCAAAACAAACAGGGTGGATGCTTGTTTAAATTCCTTCTTGAATGATATGGTTGAGTAAGGCTGCATCATTTTTTGAAAGATGGTGACAAGAAGAATTTTTAGTTGGGGAATTAAGAGAATAGGAGATTAAGGGTCTGTTTGGGGCAGCTGCAGCTTATCCAGTTTAGTTTATCTTGACAATCTGTGTATCTGATCTTGATAAGTTGTTTGTCTGTTTGATTTGTAAGTTTGGAAAACAACTGATTTGCAGTTGTTTATGAATAAATGATTATTCTGCCCCTGAGCTTTGTTGGGCTACAATCAATGCTCGGTTTAATAAACAAAAATTGGGCTATATTAATTCTGATAACTTTCATATGTATCTACCTAACTTTGGATTGAAATTGATTGGTTGATTAACTCTAACTTTGGAAGGGAGCATCTTTGGATAAATTTATCCACTCTTTTAT